TTTAGAGGCAAATGTCTCGGTAGGTCCTTGGCAGAATGTGCACTTGTTGATTTCGCATCTATGTATGCATGTTACCGTGTTCCTTCATCATCCCACATGCATCCACCCGTCCAACGTGGACCCAAATGCCGTTTTGCTCACCGAAATACACTGGACAGGCTCGGACCTCGGGCAGCCCGGCGTTGACAAACACGTCAGCCACGATGCGTGATGATGGCCATGGCACTACTGCGAGAACCCTTCTCCAACAGTACAGTGTAGCCGTTGGAGGTAGCCTCCATGCGTACAGCAGTGTTATGCGGCGGGCTGGTTACAAGAGTGACGAGACTCAGGTGCGGATTGCGAGAGGTGCTGGCCGGAAAAGTATAGAACAGAGAGGGCTGTGGGGCGATAGGGGTGCAGACAGAGGGAAGAGGTGAGTGGAAAACGCTAGAACATTGAGATGGGCAGTCAGCCCTAGGTGCGGGCAGTGAGAAGTGCGGACAGTGCGAGGTGTGCACAGCGAGAGGTGTGGGTAGTGGGATGGGAGGTGTGGATAGTGAGAGGAATGGAAAGTGATAGGTGTGGACAGAGAGAGCTGTGGACTGTGAGGGCTATGGACAGTCACCCCTGAAGATGGTGAGAGGTGCGGACAGTGAGGGGTGTGGATAGTCGGAGATGTGTGGAGAAGAGGGGAGAGTGTGAGGTGCGGACAGCGAGAGGTGTGGTCCAGGTCTACCTGCGGACAGATGGAGGTGTGGCACCTGTGCGGACAGTGAGGGGTGCGGACAGATGGAGGTGTGGAGATCGGTAGGTGCGGACAGAGAGGGGTGCGAGCGTTGAGAGGTGCAGACAGTCCTGGGAACGGAAAGGCGCTCGGGTGGTGAGTAAACCCTGCTTGTATAGGGAGGGGTTGCCAATGAGAGGTGCTGTTGGGAAGAGGTGGGGGAGACGGAGATAGGCGCAGAGAAACGGAGGAGAGGATTGGGATGCGTTCACTCAGTGAGTGATGCATGGGGGTAGGTGCGAACAGAGAGGGGCGCCGGGAAAAGAATGGTGTGGGCCGTGGGAGGTGAGTCTCTCTAGCAGAGGGTGGCAGTCCCGGGAACCCAGCATCACCCGCGTGTCAACCCACCTCCCACAACTCTCACTACCGGGCTGGGTATGGTAACAGCCTGAACTATTTGGGGTCACCCTCTCATCCACTCCATGATGCCTCTCGTCTCGTAAACCCATGCCACCACCCTGCTGGCAACATAGGCAAAATCCTCACACCCACCACCTCACTTATTGCGTGCTTGTGTATGGACATGCAGGTTCATCGGGCTGTAGCGTTGCCGGCCAAGGACATCCGCACTGGCGAGCCATCGGCCAAGTATGCGCGCGCAGCACCAACACATCACGGCTCCCCTGCCTTCTCCTTTGTGGAGTATGGAGCCAGGGAGGGCGAGGCACTCTACGGGCAGTTGAGCCTCCTCATGAGAGCCCGCAGGAGCACGGATCAACACGGGGCGCCTCTGCATGCGGTGGCGTACATCAAGCCTTGGAAGGCTGTTGGTGTTGACCAGCTCACTGGGTGTGTGAAGCTCGAGGAGCTTGGGAATCCGGATGCCTGCGTGGTCATTCCTATTGCTAACCTTCGCCGCGTTGTGCATGTCGTCCAGTCGTTCGATCGCGAGGGGGTGTGGCTGTTGAACAAGTGGGCGGATGGCCTGCGTAAGGGCGGTGTTTGATAACTTGTTGCCTTGAGGCAGCCCATGTGTATGTGGTAGTCTAGGGATGCATGGTCTACACCTGTAACAATATTTGTGGGGCGTTTGTAGCTGGCTACGATAGGAAGGATAAGATTAAATCCGTCCTTGACGTGCATGTTAGCGTGCCTATCTGACAGGTGTTGCGACTGTCGCTTATTAGAATACGCCACAGGTGTGGCGTCTAAACTCTCCTTAATTATGTCGTGCATGATGCATGTTTATACGGTAACTGTCCTTCCCCTACGCAAAGTGGTGGCAACGTCCCATAAACTAGCCAATTGACCTCAGTTACGCCGGAATACAAAAAGGTGGTTTATAATGTCACGAAGGGGGTTTATAACGAACAACATTTCAATATGAACTTTACAATATGTAAGCCTAAAACGATGTAGTAAATGCTCTCAGTATAAATAACATTGAGATGCAACATAAAGGAGTTATCTTGTTGGAAATTGCCTCGACAACCGCTCAGTTCGGTTGCCGAAGCTGTCGCCGAAGCTCGGTCCGAAGCTGGGGGGTATCCTCTGGGTTACCTCTATTGTAGCCCCCACCTGATTGGTCAACGAAATCCACCCGAAATTCAGCACGCGAGCATAACCTCATCGCCACTATCGCGAGCCATCAAGGTGACCTCGAGGTGTCTTGGGGGGAACTTCGGGGCAACCCCCACAGCGTTGCCCCGGGGTATCCTTCGTTTTCCATCCGATTTCGGGCTTCAGATTTTTGGAGATGAAGTGGACAAAGCGTAAGGACGTCGCGGGGTATAACACCTCGCTACCCACTGGGTCAAAACGAGAGTGTTATTTGGCGCAGCGGAGTGCCCTTAACACACCCCACAGGCGTTACACTCGCCCCCCCCTGGCGCCAACGTCCCTGTTGGCCTCGGACTTAAGGGAGTCGGCCCCCTGCAGCTGGGACCTAGATTTCAGGATCGTTCTCTGGGTTCGAGCTGGTAACCACACTTCGGTTCTCGCCACAGGCGGAAAATGTGCACCAGCCGGGACTAGAACCAAAGGCTCTGAAACCAGTATAACACCTCGCTACCCACTGGGTCAAAACGAGGGTGTTATTTGGCGCAGCGGAGTGCCCTTAACACAGCCCATAGGCATTACACGGGGTGTTCCGCGGGGAGTTTCGCCGGTGTTTCGCAGTGTGCTTTTGAACGAGTTTCTTTTAAATTGGAGCGACAGATGCGAATCGCCGTTCCTATGAAATCTGAACGCATCGTAACAATGAACGTCGATAACAATGCTGCTGCTTTGGCGCCGATAGCTGGCGATTGGGTTCCAGGCTTAAGGAGGCTGACAGGTGGCAGCTGCAACGGTCTCATTGGACAAACGATTTCAGAGCAGTTTTGAAGCTTCTAGGAATCGTTTCTAAGTGACATCGAGAAGCACCTCACTCATCATGCAAGCCGTGGTCGCGCCGGTGAACTCTTGAGTCTGTCTAGTTGCCAAGCTTCACACACCTCGCTAAAATCGAAAGGCCGAAAACCATGTTTACGCATTTGGGGGTGTCGCAATTCACATCAAACCAACCTCGCTGAAATCGTGAAACGCGGCTTTACCTTGCCATTCGAACTGAAGTCAAATTGCGGACGTTACACTGCAGCTTGTATCGCAACCCGCCATCTTTCGAAACTTTGAAACGGGGGCTCAACCGCGTGAGGTTGAGTAGCGCGGTTCAGACTGTTCAAGTAGCGGCTCAAAGCGGCGAAGTTGACAAACAAATAAGAGTTCACATGTAAAATGTATGAATATTGGAATTACAATAAGATTTATAGCATGGTACAATGCAGTAGCCAGATATGTAATGAAAGTAAAATAACGAAGTCCCTTTACACGTATGTAACCACACACAACTTATATCATCCTTGAGATTATCCAGCTCATACACACTCGGCTTTATTTAGAAGATCCTATACAAACTCTGAAGCCTTCTGCACCCCTGTTCGCCCTCTCTATCCACCTTCACCTCACAATTGCTCTCTGCTTTCCCGCACTCAACCATTTAAGCAGGAGCACGCGCCCTGCAAGCCAGCAGAAAGCAGGGAAGGCAGCTGCGGTGGAAACAACAGTGCATAAATATCTGGACATCACATGCTCACCGTCACTACCACCCCACCACCATCCTTTCACCGATTGCACCCAGTCCACCACGCCCCCAGAAGCACACAGCTCTATAGGCGAGTATTGCCCACCACTGAAATCAGCAGTCAACACAGCAGCCTTTCTGCTCTTCCATACACACACCCCTCACACCTGCATACCTTGGTTTCACCCACTCACCACCTCGGCTGGTTTTGCCATTTTCTTTTCAAAACATGAAGTTGCTCAAGCGCCTACAAAAGCCGCATGATTCTATCATCCTGATCCATAGATTTCTTCTCTATGGTGTGTGCGGCATCACCTGGCGACACCATTACTGCAAGCTCATTGAGAGCATCATGATCCTCTGACCTCATCAGCTCTACAGGCTCGTTCTCCCCCTCTCCCTTCCACCGATACGACTGCCCAACAATGCAGTAGAGAGCCAGAGAAGGGAACTGCCTGCGCAGAGAAACTAGGGTGCTGGGCTGGCACTGTCGCGTGGGGAAGAAAATCGACTGCATCTCTGGAGCTTCGATGAAGGGGGGGCGTATGCCTTCGCGCTCACCGCTACTGTGGGTGCCTGTCTGTCCTCCGCCACCAAGACCCCCTTCTCCAGAGAGACGAACGCTCAACCTCCTCCACTGTAGTCATGGCAGTGTCACCATTCCGACCGCCACCGATTCTCCTGCCGCTCACGCCAATCCCAAGAGAGCGCATGCGGCCCCACTTTGCATCCACGCCCTCCAGAGGCCAGCCATGCCTCACTATAAGCGTCTCCACTGTTGGCGCTATGCTGCTGAGTAGCCGTGTCAACATAAGCGCATGCTGCTCAGCCATCCTTCCTTTGGTGTGTGGTCCATCGAAAAATACTGTTTTTGATGAAGCCAGTGGGAGTGAACAAATGTCAAGCTAGCTGCGGCCGATCAGCGTGAGGGAGACGAGACGAGGAGGGCTGGTGCTCGTGCAGTTGACCTCCAGTCTCCTTGCCGTGACAGAGAGTTCCTTCAACGTGGGTGGGAGGGAGGAGTGAATGGCAAGCATATGCTGCCCAAAATTGACTGTGATGACTCGAGCAGCAGAGAACTCGAGAGTAAGGCTACATCTACGGTTGTCGGAGGACAGGAAGAACTCATGTATTTGTAGTGAGATGGAAGACAAGAAGTTATATTCTTGGCTGATGCCTTCCAAACGCTCGATTGTCAGGCTCCTTAATGCCTTGAAGGATGCCGAATTCACACTGTGTAGAGACCAACGTCCATGGCCTAGCTTTGAGGGAATGGTGACCTCCCAATTTGAGGATCCGGAGGAGCGATCGATTCGAGCCATGTACTCTGAGGGGTACATTCCCTTATTCTAACTGCTTTACAGACATTTCTACATTGACTCTGACTGTTCCACTACTTTCTTGTTACCGAGTCGCTGCATGTAACCTGTACATACGGTTACGCCTGTTGCCATTCCTCGATGGTGAGTCAACCGTCAGTCTAGATGGTCAACAGTCGCGACAGCTGACTCTTGCAACTGTTGACCTTCCTGCCTTTGATATAGGCTGATCCAACAAAGCTGCTAGCGCTGCTTCGATAGAGACTGGTGCGATATTGCTGCACCTACGGGAATGCTAAGTATAATTCCCTTCATACTCCAACAAGACTGGTGAGAATTGTAAGAATAACGAGGGGGGCGAGAGGGGCGAGGTGATAAGAGGAATGAGAGGGAGCAGAAGATTTAGAGGGATGAGAGGGATGGGATAGATGAGAGGGGTGAGAGGGATAAGAGGGATGGGATAGATGAGAGGGGTGAGAGGGGTGAGAGGGATGAGAGGGATGGGATAGATGAGAGAGGTGAGAGGGGTGACAGGGGTGAGAGGGGTGAGAGGGATGAGAGGTATGGGATAGATGAGAGGGGTGAGAGGAGTGAGAGGGGTGAGAGGGGTGAGAGGGATGAGAGGGATGAGAGGGATGGGAGGGGTAAGAGGATGAGAGGGATGAGATGGTTGGGAAGGGTTGAGAAGGGTTGAGAAGGGTGGGGGATGAGAGTGGGAGCTGCCCTCCTCTCCCCCTCTCATCTCCCCCATCCCTCTTCTCCCACTCTCATCTCCCCCATCCCTCCTCCCCCCTTCTCATCCTCGCCGTCCCTCTTCTCCCCCTCTCATCTCCCCCAGCCCTCCTCTCCCCCTCTCATCTTCCCCATCCCTCCTCTCCTCCTCTCATCTCCCCAATTTCACCTCTCCCACGCTGCACCTCATCGCCAGTGTTTCTCTCCCCCCACCCATCAGAGCTCAAAAGCCCACCTGCACTTCCACACTTTGGCGGATCTGCAAAGCTTCAGCAGCACAATGAGAGCCTCTGTGTTTATCTTTTGAATTCTCACCTCTCCCGCTCTTCACCTTATCGCCAGTGCTTCATTCTCCCCACCCATCAGAGCTTGGAAGCTCGTCTGCACTTCCACACCTTGGCGGACCTGCACAGCTTCGGCGGCACAATGAGAACCTCTGTGTTTTTTCAGAACTATATAAAAAACGTTCTTCACCTCATCGCTTGTGCTTCTCTTCTCTCTCTCCACCCATCAGAGCTCGGAAGCCCACTTGCACTGCCACACCTTGGAGGACCTACAGAGCACAATGAGAGCCTCTGGCCACTCCCTCACCTCCTTTTGCCTGGGGCCCACGCCCAGGGATGCATCCCACTAGGAAGACCCCTATGGGCATGCCCAGCAGCACAGGCATGCAGAGCAGCACAGGCATGCAAAGCAGCACAGGCATGCAGAGCAACACAGGCATGCAGAGCAACACGGCCATGCAGAGCAACACGGCCATGCAGAGCAGTAGCGGCGTGCAGAACAGCACATGCGCGTCTCCCCAGTGTTTTTCCAGCACTGTCCGCAGCTGTAGTAGCTGCATCTGGAGCGTGCCAACTGGAACCTCACCAGCCTCGACCCCTTGTGGCTCAAAGCCTTAAGGGCCCTCACCATCCACCATTCCCACTGCACCGCCTCGGATTTCGAGTCTCTGGCCCAGATCACGCCGCACCTGTACGGACTCTCACTCTAACTTTCTCAACCAGGGGGTCTGCACCCTCAACCTTAGCTTCTCCACTGCTCAATCCATCCACCTCATGTTGGACCAGCACAGAGTGCACCTCAACCTCTCCCTCCCTGCCTCTCTCAATTCTTTGTCTATTTCAGCGGACTCTCTCTCCCTCGATTTCTTCATGCCGATTGGTTGCAAGCGCCTCGTGGTGGCATCCCTCCCACCAGCATGCAAGAGGAGACAGTCAATCCACTAGCCAACCCCCCTCGCCCACCTCCGAGCTCTCCGAATCAGCCTCCCAGCTCTCGGGACCTTTACTCTCTATCCTTGCATGAATTATCATTGATCCGCGTGCTGCAATCAATAGCCCCAACAGTGGAGGCACTGATGGTGCCACACTCGATGCCGATAGAGTCAGTGGAGGGCGAGTGGAGTGAGCTGCACCGCCTGGCCATCGGTGTGCGTGGGAGCAAGGCGGGTGAGGAAAGGCGCAAGACGACAGTGGTGGAAGCAGAGGCTCGTGCAGGCGGCGTTTGTACCCGAGGAGAGGTGCTGATGGGGGAGGAGATAAAGGAAGCGGCACAGGTGATAGCAGCGGCGGCTGTGGCTGTCAGAGGTCCACTGGTGATCCCCGATTGATCCTAGGGAAGGGTTACAGGCACGTTGGCTTGGGGGGTTATGGGCGCACTGACCCGCTACTTAACAAGCCCTTTTATCCCAATGGTCTAGTGGTAAGGATTTTGACAGTGGCATTCGTGGCAGTAGTAGCAGGAGGAGTCGAAGTAGGAATCGTGAAGCACCAAGGCCTCCTTACATCAATGCCCCTGCGCTGCAGTCTCTCCTTTTCGCCACGCGCCGGTGCAACCCTGACACTCTCGTGTCTCTGCAAGAGGACTTCCTCCCTGGAGATCTACTGCGTTGTTGGCAGGTCGTTCTGCTGGAATTCCATTGGGAGTAAGCGGCTCAGTCAGCCCATGTGTGTGTGAGTGCGCATCGGTCCGCTTCAAACGCTCCTCGCCCCGAGCCAGATGGAAGATCAAGTGGCGAGATGGCTGTCGGCAACTTTATGGATGGCCTTCAATGCCTTTGAGCTTGTGCAATGAAGGGACGTGGTTAGTGTGAAGGAGGAAGTGTGCTCGAGGTTATAAAAGGATAAGGGGCAAGAGTTGGTGTTAGAATAAGTGGTAGTGTGAGGCGATGGTGGGTTGTAGCGAGGGTGGTAATGAAACTGATGTTTTCAAAAAAACTCTGGTCGGGAAGATATGCAGCGTGCACGCAGCGTGCGAAAGGCAAGAATTGTTACACAGTTGTTAGTTATCAGTACTTCAATACAACAAATACTAGTTTCACATGTTCACTAAACGGAGTTGGCTGAAGTGTTAAGTGGGTCACTTTCAAACGGTTACCATCGTGACTCGATGCGGGAGGGGGTGGTATCCCCAGACCGTCGCTCTCTGCGGACTCGAAGGTCATTCATGTGACAGCCATTCATGTGACAGCCAGCCAACTAGACGGGCGAGAGAGCGAGCATGGATGCTATGCAAGCTGAGCTAGGATGTCATGTCGATACGTGGCGCTGTTGCTGGTGCCACTGGTCTCGAAACGCACCGATAGGAGCAAAAGCACGGCATGCTTATTGCGACTTCATCCCAAAATGTGTGAGTTTGGGGTGGGATGTTTTGTTAGAATATAGGACTCTTTGACATATTTTTTAGGGCTTGCGATCGAGTTACTTTCCGAAACTTACATGCAGGTGGATTTTCTGGGTTTGCGGCTCGGGATTCGTTTGGCAGCATCATCACAGAAGTTTTGATACGACCCTGCGAACGATTCTATTGGTCGAAATATGTCGACTTCGTCCTCGAAACTTCCTCGACAACGTTCGTACAATTTTCATTGGTTGTTCGATTCGAACTTACTCCTTCGCAAGGGTGGGGCATCGAAGCACACCTTCTATGAAGCAGCGGGTGGCGAAAGGGTTTGACCCAAAGCCAGGCCAAGTTGACCCGCACAAGAGCATATATGTTCCAGCGCACATTGAATATACTGTTATGAAGAGCTTATATTGTTCAGACGTCCATTTTATAGCCGTATAGTAGTTTGATTTCCACGTCTAAGTAAAGCAGTTGAACTTTCTGATCTTGTTTGTTGTGATCAGTGGGAAGATAGAGTCACCAAATGATTATGAATTCTTCTAAAGGAATATTTGCGAGTTCATACATGGACGTCGCATGATGTAGTTTCGACGCTCTCAATGATTTTTTTTTTTTAAGGTTTCTTTATACCACATAATCGTTAATGATACCAAGAAGCTCTCAACCCAATCTGAAGTTATTCGTATGGACGGGAGTTGGCCCCGCCCGCGCTTGGGCAAAACTGACTGTGTGGTCGGGGGTGTGGGAGGTGCAGCCGACCCTCTGCAATATGCAAGATCTGGAGCTTCCTGTGCTCGATGTGTACTAGGGAACCCATGCAAGAGTAACCGAAGCACCCGTGAGTGCAACGAAAACGTCTCGTGCACATGTGCAAGTGGTGCAGCTAGTGCAGAGGTTCGCGGGTGTTCGTCTTCGCACGGTCACGTCTGATCCTGCGCACTTGCGCGAATGCACAAGAGAATTTCAGCTAGAAGGTGGTCGGCGAAGGTCGTCGACCCACGACGACGAAGGTCTTCGACCCACGACGACGAAGGCCGTCGACCCACGACGACGAAGGCCATGGACCCACGACGACGAAGGTCGTCGACCCACAGTGACGAAGGTCGTTGACCAACGACGACGAATGTCGTCGACCAATGATGACGAAGGTCATCGTCTTGCAGGGTTGCCGTGGACTTGACTCTGTCGACCAAGTTACTTGCTCGACGAGGTTCTGCAGAGGTGCGCGAACGTCGTCGAGGTTCCTGTGGTGAAGTCGACCGACGTGGTAGCACGTGGTCGACGTGGCTCGTCAGGTGCAATCGTCGGCATTTGGATGACAACCTGCGCAATGAACGCGACAGTGCACGACGTGTGTAACTGTCTACAAGCACCTGCGAAGTAGGTGCTTGCACATGCGCTTCCAATCACCTGCGGATGCAACATGGCAAGCCGCGCGGGTGATGTGTAGGCAAGCCACGCGGGTGCATCGTTGGTAGGACGCCATTCTGCAGCGTTGGCAAGCCGTGGACGAGATGCGTTGGCGGGCCGCAGACTTGCTACGTTGGCAGGTCGACGACTTTGTCGTGCTGGCGGTCGATATGCCTGTGCACTAGCAAGCCCTCCATCTAATGTAGTCAATCTTTCCCATTGCTTGTTCATTTTGAACTCGTTTTCTCAACTTTCATAGTGAAACTCTTGGTGTTTTGCTCTGTGAACACACAAATCATAGAGAACTCAAACAGAGCTACGATCACTCTTACAACAAGTGTCAACCCCATAGTCTAGCTCCCACCGTTGTAGAGTTTATCTCCGCATGGTGTGGTGAGCGTGGAACGGCCCCGCAGATACCTTCAGATTAGTAGCCAACGTATCACTTACCTAAGTCGTTTGTAGGCCGGCAGCCTGTGCGAATTATGACGCCTACCCTGGTAGAGGCCGGTGGGGTAGAGGATACGATAGAAGCACGTCTGGCTGGTGCGACGATGCGCCATGGAGATGGCGAGTTCTGGACGGTGCTCCCCTTGGAGGTGATTCTCCTGGGGATCCGCGCAAAGTGGGTGGCGGAACACCCTCCCCAACCTGGAGCGGAGGGTTCGTCCGCCTCTCTTCGACCGGTGCGGAACGATGGCGTCGTCGACATGGAGGTCGACAACAGTGAACCAGTCGGCGGCAGCGAGGGCACAAGGGAAGATAGGAGTGATCATGTCCGCCGACGGTGGCGTCGGCAGGAATCAGGCGCGAGTGCAGCGGTTGACGGCTGCCGCTGGCAGCTCGCATGTGGACGTCAAGGGTCGTCGTCATTCACCTTTGCGAAGCAATGGGAGGCCAACGTCGTTGACGCATGTGACGGCAAGCGGGATCGCTCCGGCGTATGGCTACTTCAAATTCTCGCCGAACAAGATCGCCGTGCCAGTGCCGCTGCAAGGTTGACGGGACCTCATCACGTGGAAGGAGGCTATTGAGCCTCAACTGGAGATCGACGGACTAAAGGGTTTCGCCGAAGGCACCGTGCCGATTCCGCACGAGAACGAGGTCGAGCTGCGCGGGGAGTTTCGTGTTGCTCATCTGCTCACCTTCATAGTCATCTCGAGGTGCTGCTCGTCGATGGTGCAGATTGCGCTGAAAACGTGTCGACTTCGACTGGACGCAGGCCACCAGGCGTGACAGTTCATCGTGTCGACCTACTAGGCGACAGTCGACTTGTGCATCGGCCAGAAGGAGGAGCAGCTGACACACCTTCGGATGGGCGAGCAGGAGTCGGCGACGGACTACTGTAATCTTGCTCGACGACTTCTGGCCAAGATGCAGATGGCGGGCGTCGAATCTGCTACCACGCTTGCCTGCCGCCGACCTCCTATAGCACGTTGCTCGACGATGCGCAGGCCGACGCCAATTTGCCCGAGCTCGACCCTTACGTGCACGCCGATCCAGAGCACCGTGGGGTAATTGGGACGATGACGGTGAAGGAGGCGTTGGCTGTCAGAATATTATGCTCTAGCCTGTAGTGGGGTGCTCTATAGCGAGTACAACCCTTTTAGGGTTTGCTATTTGTATCCTCATTCTTGCTAGTGCAAACCTCCTCTTTTGCCTAATTCTCTCTTGCCTAGCTAGGTAAACCCTAGCTATGGCTCCTCACTATACCTACTTCTCTCACATGGTATCAAAGCAGTGTCGCTCCTGGCCTGTGGGCCCGCCTGCTTCCGCTGCCCTACTGTCTGTCGCGCGCCCCGTGGCGTGCGATGTACATTTTTTCTTCCCGCCACGCGCTCGGGGCGCGTGGCGGTTTTCTGCCCGCCATGCGCTCGGGACGCGTGGCGGTTTCCGTCAACCCGCGCGCCCGTCCCCGTCGACCTTCGCGCGGCTCCCCGTCGCCCTTCCCGGCGGCCCCGTCGACCCGCCCGCGGCTCCCTGTCGCCCTTCGCGGCGGCCCCGTCGACCCGCCCGCGGCTCCCCGTCGACCTTCGCGGCGGCCCCGTCAACCCGCGCGTGGATCCCCGTCGACCTTCGCGGCGGCCCCGTCGACCCGCGCGCTGCCCCCGGGGACCTGTGCGCTCGTCCCCGTCGACCCACGCGTCGCCCTCCGCCCCCCCCCCCCCCTCCCCAACACACCTGAGTCTGCTTACCGCACACCTGAGTTCGCTTCCCGCACACTTGTGCACTATTCGCGCACACCTGAGGTCGCTTACCGCACACTCAGGGTATGGGGGTGGCGGGTGTGTGAGCCGTCACCTGCTCCTCCTCCTCCTCCGTCTCCCACTACTGCAGCTGCCGCTGAGGGGGGTGGGTGTGTGGGAGCCGAAGGAGTGGTGCTAGGGGGTTGCTATGGGAGTGGAGCTAGGGTTTTAGCAGGGGGTGTGTGTCAGGGGGGGGTGGGACTATTTGGGGAGGTTGCACGGAGGTTGCCGTCGTGTCGCCAGCAGCACCTGTAGTCCGGGGAGTTGCTCTGGTAGCCCAGTCGCAACCACCTGTGCCAGTCGCCCGTGGGTCCGTTGCTCGTCTGCC